GGGGGGGATACTGAAAATTTCAAAGAGATCTCCGCTCTAGAAGTATTCTAAAATGTGAAGAATACAACCCGGGTGTACAAAATGACCCCAGGCGTACGGATAGGGTTAATATCATCCTTAAAAAAGTGGTATAGCATACAACGTACACTGCAGGTTAGATTATTTGGTGTAATTTTTTACAATAAATTTGCAAAGCTTCAGGTTTATCTATCTATCTATCTATCTATTTATCTATATATCTATCTATCTATCTATCTGTGTGTCAGTTCGTGTACGTATGTAAGTGTGTGTGTATGTGTGTGTAAGTGTGTGTATATGTGTTTGTGTGCGTGTGTGTATGTGTGAGGTGATAGGTGTGGGTGCTAGCGTGCTCGCCCTTGAGTGTGTAAGTGCGTGCGTGTGTATGTGTGCGTGTGTATGTGTGTGTGTGTGAGTGAGAGAGAGTGTGTGTATGTGTGTGTGTGCGTACGTGTGTGTGTGTGTGTGTGAGTGCGTGTGCGTGCTCGTGTGCGTGAGTGCGTGTGTATGTGTGTGTGTGTGTGTGTATGTGTGTGAGGGGGGGGAGGGAGGCGCACCATAATATACGTGACATGTACACTAGTACACGACAGGATGTATGTCTTGCCTTTTCCCAGCACTTCCTTTAAGCGACATTTCTTGCGTTAACAAGTTCCTTTTCAACTTATTTCCGCGTCTGTCTGCAGCCACGTCTCTCTTTACCTCTCAATCTCATTTCCCTATCTATCTATCTATCTATCTTTATATGCACACACGAGCGCTCTTTCTCTCGTTCTCTCTCTCTCTCTCTCTCTCTCTCTCTCTCTCTCTCTATCTATCTCTCTCTCGCTCTCTCTCTCTCTCTCTCTCTCTCTCTCTCTCTCTCTCTCTCTCTCTCTCTCTCTCTCTCTCTCTCTCTCTCTCTCTCTCTCCAAATGTGAGTGAAAACTGAAATTAGCTTTTTATATGGCGTAAGAGGCCCCCGTTGCTGTGTGTGGGGATAGGGGTGGTCTAGGGGTGGGGTGTTCCTTTCCATTAACCCTTTACCAAGTTACAGTACCGATTAATTTATCGTTTGGTGCAACTCCCGTCCCCCGTCCCCCGCCCCTACCCTTCCGGGTGCAACCTCTCCAAAGACAAAAACTTATGTATCAGTTTCAGATGAATATAAAGGTAGCCTAGGAGAGCTATTCTCATTAACAGAAAATCCATGAATCGACCCTCTTCCCAACCGCCCAGTGATCAATCTTCGTTCCAACCTAACCACAGCCGAGGAGTAAAGGCTCATTGCTCCACACAGCCAACGGCAAGCTACCAGCCAATCGATTTGCCTGCTGACCCAGGCAACGAAGCTAGCAATCTCATCAGCTACAAGGCTAAAAATAGAAAGGTTGCACGGCGTGTAGCTTGGCTTGGCTTGGCAAGACTAGGCTAGGCTATGAGGTGGTTTGGCAATGCGCTACGCTACACAATAGGCGGGTTACCTTGCTAGCTGGCTGGCTCGTTTGTAGGCCAACTTATCGCCGGGGCAAGCAACACAGCTACCGAGCAGAGGGAGAGAGAGAGAGAGGCCGAGCTAGTCACAAGCCCACGTGAAGCTAACTCTGTAGCCTAATAAAAACGATAGGGCCTAAGATAACGATAACCTCGTGAAGTCGACAAGTGAAGTCCTTCTAAGTTCTATAGTCTACCTACTAGCATATTACTTTGTGTGGTCACACAGTTACTGGCTCGGGTCTTTTCCAACCAAACCAAGTCCTTTGCAGCAAAGTAAGTTTCGTTTGTTGTCCGTCCTAAACGAATGGTGGCGTTTTGTTATACACCATACTCTGTCCTTTTAATTAGCACATGCATTAATGTATTATAATGTTGCTAAGCTTATTCAACCCCTCACCCTCCCAAACCGCATCTACCAAATAGGTATGTTAGACAAAACAAATTAAATTATTGCCCGTAGACTGTACATTATAAAGTTAGTATAATTGGCTAAATAAACCACTTCAAAAATATTCATGTCTGTATTTTAGAATTATCAGGTCTTTGAAAAGTTAGTTTTGAAAACGTTCCGTTTAATTAATACACTACCTCGTGTGAAATGGTTAAGTTTAGTAAATAAACAACATCGGCTGTTGCCCCGTTGCAGCGATGAGCTTGGTTGCCGAAAAGAGAGAATTTAGAAAATAGCGTGTGTCCGCGTGTGTAGCCGATGGGCAGCGGCATCCTGTAAGTTGTAGAATGAAAGCAGTGGCGTATCTGAATAGGCCATCAATCGTCGTCTTTTCTTCACTTGTTGCTGAAGGCTTCACCCAAATGATTTATTATAGCGGCCAAGTGTCCTCCCATAGTATAGTGTTAAGAGGTGGAACGTCCTGTATGCCATAGCTGCATAAATACATCAAAAACGTGTGTATGTTATAACCTAGGATATGCTGCAAAACGATGTTACCATTCCTGGGTATAATATAATAAAGTCCTGGGGTGGTCACCTTTTCTTCTTCTTTTCTTTTAGTTAGAAGTAATTAAGTTACAACTCTATGCAAACCTATGTGTTCTCTCTCTCTCTCTCTCTCTCTCTCTCTCTCTCTCTCTCTCTCTC